TACCACGTACTGGCTCTGTGACCCTGAGCAAGTCCCTTGTCCTGTCCAAGCCTCAGCTTCCTAAACTCGTCAGAGGAAGAGCACAGCAGTGCTCACCTCCCAGGGTGCTGACAAAGACACAGCGAGAGAGTGCATGGGGGACACAGCACAGAGCCCAGCTCATGGCGACGGTTCAGGACTTGGTATTTATATCTGACCGTTAGGACTGCAGACCACGATCTCCTACCACAGTGCCAAATCCAAAGAGCCCAGAAAACTGAAGTTCATAACTGATTTGGAAGTCAAACCCAAGCTGCCCTGAACTCCATGGGAGGTCACACCCGTCTGGAGCAGCTCCCATGAAATTATTCATAATCTTTATCTCTTCCTGTGAATAATCACACATTTCAGACACAACTGCTCAGCGTGCTGGCCAGGACTCCTCGGGGGGGGTTCGAATACCCTCTGAAAATTGGTCCCGACTCAGCTGAGAGCCTGTGTGCCTGCCCTGGAGTCATCATGGTATCTCCCTGCTCTGACCTCAAGGGGCTTCCAAGGCCCTTCCTGGCATAGCCCAGCCCTGCGTTCCTGACTCTGCCCCAAGGGCCTACCAGCCAGAAAAAAGCAGGCAGTCCAGGGCTGCGTACCGCAGTTAAGTCTCCATCCCCTCAAAGTGGCTCTGAAGCCGTGCTCCTGCTCAGCCAGGACCAGTGGCCAGCATTCACTCCCTGAGGGCTCGCCCCCCCCCGGGGGTTCCAGGGGGCCCCGAACACCACCGGCACTGAGCAGCCCCACCCGACTCTCATCCTCCTGCGGTACCCAGCCGGCGCGTGCTAGGGCTCAACTCCAGACTACCGGTGAGAGATGGGGCGTGGTGGGGAGGAAAAGAGCCCAGGGACCGCACCCCTCCCACTAGGACTGCTCGGGATCACGGGGCCTCCTGCCCTCCCCCACACACCCCGAGGTAACAGGCTCCTCATCTCGCTGCAGGTGCTGGCGCAGCCCATGGACTTTCAGAACAGCCGTGTTCCCTGACTCACTGCCAGTCAGCCAGTAAAGGAATGTTCTCAACACCCGTGAGAACAGGCAAGGGAGACCCTGCTGTGCCCTTTATTTTTTATAATTACCTCTTTTTTTTTCTTTTGGCTTAGTGTCTTTTTAAGTCGAGAAGGGACAGGCTGTCTGTCTTAAGGCAGATGATGGGCCCCGATGCTGCATGTACATTAGAGCCACTGTTTTTGTCCTGGCAACATGTTAGAACCGTGCTTTCCTTCTCTTCCTGAAGCTAATTCTTGGGCTGGCTGGCTGCTTTTCCTTCTTTCACTTCCCTTCATTTAGCAAATATTTTTGAGTCTCTACTGTGTGGTTTCCACCAAGTAAACAACAGGAGAAAAACACAAAATGATTCAGTATCTTCCCTAAAATCAGCCTCGGCTGGGGATGACCCTCAGTGTGGCCTGGTCAAGTGGCCAAGAGTGAATTCAAGAACATCCTGAAATTTATCAGTGTGGGCAGGGGGGCATCAGCCCTTCGTGAGGAGGCAGCCAGGCTTCCACTGGGAGAGCAGAATGACACGTGGGGTTCAGAGCACCAAGTCTGTGGGGCTGCCCACCTCTCCACTCCCCACCTAAGCCTCTGCTTGCTCATCTGTACACAGAGATGATGAAGGAGCCTCCATTTTCTGTAAAGCACTTCTCAGTGTTGGCCTCCATGCTGAGCCCTCAAGCTCAGTGGCTACTGTTGTTCACAATGTTAGCCACCTCCAGAAAGGCCACTGAGCCCCAAGAGTGCCTTAAGCCCACTCCCTGTAACTGAATCAACCAGTCAGCAGCTGGACCACATGGCTGACCCGCAAACAAGGGAACTTCGCTCCTAGACCCCTCTCTCCCGAACTTCACCAAACCCAACTTAAATGGATACACAAACTGAAATTTAAACCTGAGCCAACTGCCCGGCATGACTAAATCCCAGACTGAACGCAGATATTCTGGAGATTACACTATGAATTGAGCTCAAGGCTCCTTAAAGAAGAGCAACCCTCATGAACCACTTAAAAGGGAAGGCAGCCACTAAAGGCTTGCAAAACCAAAACCAGGCAGCACATCCTACACACTCCAGTTCCAAACCTGTGGTAGAACCGGTGGCATTACCTTGATGGACAGAGACCCTGTTTCTCTGTTCAGGGACAGGTCGGCTGAGAGGGAGGTGTTGTAGTCCATGCTCTCAGAGGCGGTGAGGCTGCCACAGTCTGAGTCCCTCTTGGACGGGCCCGGGGCTGCCTGGGTGGGGAGCTCCAAGCTGCCGTTGGCCAACTTCTCGGAACCCAAGGTCTCCAGGGCACTGCTGTTGGGACGGCTCTGGCTTGCTTTCTGGGACCTGATGGCTGCTGGACTGAGGTCCCCGCCATGGTCAGTGACTTGCTTCTCCTCGGACACCTGAATTCTGGCATCCATAGACACTGGCCGGGACTTCCGGAAGGGTGCTGGCACTGCCAGGCCATTCTCATTTCCAGGAGCCACATCTGGGGGGTTGGTGGTTTGGAGGGATCTGTCCCCAGAGGGCTGGCTGGGCCCATTCACACTGTCCTGAGGCTGGCTGGGTGGCAGTGGGGTGAAGGATGATTCTTTCAGAAGCTTGTCGGTATTGAGACTCAGTTGACTCACCTCAGAAGAGTCTCGAGTATGGTTCCCCAGAGGCTAGGAAGAAAAAAGAGTTAAGACCATGCTATTTCATGTCTAAGACAAGAGTCAGGGATGCAGTAGGGCCAGAGAGTCAGACACTCACAAGGTGAAGTAGGCCAGGGTCAAGGACGTACCATAGTCATCCCTCTCCAGTGAGCCACAGTCCTCACGACTCCCTACTGTCTAATCAACAATAGAATTACTACTTGTTTAGAGTTCATTGAATACCTGTTCTTCCTCCTACAGGCGGAGGCAACTGTGGACAGCTGGACAGCTCATCCCCTGTCTAAGGGTGGCAGTGGCCACTCTGTTCCAGCTAATTGTGACAATGGAGACAGACCTTCCGATTTTTTAAGACAAGGCTAGAATCTGGATTTTTACCTGACACCGCCTGATTTTTAGATGGCAACTAATTCAAGTTTTGGGGGTTTTTTTGTTTTGTTTTGTTTTAGTTGCATAAAAACCAAACCAAAACTATCCAGAAGCTAGATTCAGTCTATCATCCATTAAGTTTTTAAAGTTTTGTTTTGTTTCTTAGAGCTTTGGGAGCTGGTAAGTACTGGAAACATTGCTACTATGAAATAGAACACTCATTTCTGTGGATAAAATATAAACATCCAGGGAATAAAGTGGGCACCCACAGAGCCACCTTCCATGTCAGGAGTGGAACACTGCCCACCTCAAGAGAAGCCCCCGCCTACGTCTGTCTCTCCCCTTGACATAGTAGTTGTCCTGACGTTGGTCTCTAAGTGTTACAGGTTAGTTTGCTTGTTTTCAAATATGATATTAATGGAATCAAACCATAGCGTTCCCTTGGGTCCTAATGGCTGGTTTTAACCTTGGATATGGAAGCTTCCAGAAGGAACTCTAATCCACCTCCTTATTCAACCACCCTAGAATGATGCTTCAGAAATTCAGATCTGATCCTATCATCCCCACACCAATGCCCAGCCCTTGCCTGAAACCCTCAGCCCCCACCGCCCTCACGACAAGGGTCAGCCTCCTGCCTGTGGAAACCAGGCTGGTGTGACCGTTGTCTGCCTCCCTCCCCAACCTCGCTGTCCGCAGCGTCCTCCTGGAGCCAGGCCCCAGACACGCCACCTCCCTCTCCCACCACGGTTTTCCTACACCTGGCCCTGCCACCTATCAGCTCAACTGGCCACGTCATTCCTCAACCTCACTTTGCCCATCTCTAAAATGAAGGCCTGGTTCTCCCATCAGAGTTGTGGAGTGCCCGGCCCCCAGCAAGGGCTCCGTAAAAGGCTAGGGCTGCAGGGCTGATTCCACTCCTCCTCCTCAGTGCTTCCCTTCCTCATCCTGGTAAGTATTCAGGCCAGCCTGTGGCTTCTCCCAGGATCCCATCAAACTCGAGACAGCACTACACTGTCCATTCCCTGACAGAGTCCAGCCCCTGCCTCACTCGCTCCACGGCACCATCTGGACAGCAAGTTTCCCTCCTGGAAGAGGCCCTTCCCAAGTGGCGTCGACCAGGGATCTGAAAGCAGCAGCTCAGGACAGAATCCAGCCCACAGACATGTTTAGCTTGGCTCACAGGTTTTTAAAACTTTAAGTTAGCTTTAATTTAAATTTAAATTCAGCCAAGTGCCGAAGCTGCTGATGGGTTACAAATGTGCCAAGACATGGGTCCCCTGGGCACTCGGGGCAGCCAGGCAGGGTCTGGGGTGCCCAGAGCCCCTCGGCCTGTTGCCTTCAGTCACGTGCAGCCTTCATTTGCATTTATCCGACGGGGTGCTAAAAGCATTTTCATTTTGCATGTGAGCCACAACAGGAAAAAGGCAGGGAAGCAATGAGTCAGCTACCAACTTTTAAAAACTGGAAGATCCCATGTGCAAATCTAGATTACTGCTCTTTCCTGAGAACGTACAGAATATGGCCAGCACACCCCCGCTGCCTCGCCCTGGCCCGTGTGCTGACTTACGTAACCTGTGGCGTGGGGGGCTATAATCCCCAAGCTGGGGAGAAACAGGAATCCTTCCTGCACACCACCCCCCAGGTCCCCTCTTATACCAGCCAAGGCCTGCTGGGGTCCCGTCCCGCCCCACCACCCCAGCCCTCCTCAGGCCTTACAGAGGTGGCATCCGGGGGCTCCTCCTCTTCCCCCTCCTCCCGGCCGTCCTCGATCTCCTCCATCACTTCGGCCTTGGCCTCGGCCACCAGCTCCCGCAGGGCCTTGTTGCTGGTGACGCTGCTGACAAAGGGATGCTGAAGGGGCAAGACACACCTGGGTTAGAACCACTTTGGGCAGGAGGGGGCAGGAGGTTCAGGTGAAGTCCTGGGGGAGGCCATCTGCCAGGCAGAGAGGCCAGTGGCATCCCTGAGTCCAATGTGAACGTGTACTTGGTAGGGGAGAGCCAGAGGCGGCCCACAAAGTCCTGTGTGTGCTGAAAGAGGCCGAGTCCTGGCTCTGCCCCCCACCAGCTGTGCAACACTGAGCATGTCACTTTCCTGTCCCGAGCTGCAGGCTCATCTCCCAAGTGGAGACGGTAAGGCCAAACCTATAGGGAGGTCATAAGGATTAACCGAGATCATGCACGAGGAAGTGTTTAGCTCAAAGCAGGGGCTCAAGCGATGTTTGGGGGGTTGTTTGTGCATCTGTTTATTTTCTTTTTTTAAAGGTTTTAATATATGGTTTTAAAATATCTACTACAGGGGCACCTGGACGGCTTAGTCAGTTGAGTGTCCAACTCTTGATTCCGGCTCAGGTCATGGTCTCGGGGTCCTGAGATCGAGCCCCACGTCGGGCTCCACGCTCAGTGCAGAGTCTGCTTGTCCCTCTCCCTCCCCCTGCTTGCTCTCGCTCTCTCTCAAATAAATAAAATACTTAAAAAAATAAAATATCTACTACAGATCCTTTATTGAAGTGTTGCTTACACCCAGTAAAATTCACAAATCACTAAGCTCAATGACTTTTTCCACTTATATACTAGGTATAACCATAGCCCACCTGCAGACACCAAAGGTTTCCATCTCCGTATCATCAACCCCGCTCCCCCTAGTTGCCCAGCCCCAGAAACTAGTTTTGCCTGTTCCCTAAATTTCATGTGAACAGAATCAAAATTATGCAGTCCTCTGTGACTGGTGTCGTGGTTGAAATCATGAGATTCGCCTACCTCACTGCATATATTGGTAAACTGGTCCTTTTTCATTCCTGTGCAGGTATCTACTGTATGGAGAGGTCACAACCTGTTTATTCATTCTGCTGCTGATGGACATTTGTGTTGTTTCCTGTTTTGGGCGACTATGACTAAAGCTATGAACACGTGCAAATAGGTGGGTTTTTGGGAACACGCATGTTTGCAAATTCTTAAGAGAGTGTCGTGTAAGTTCTATTCCTAGGCATTTACAGAAAGGTCCCATCTCTAAAATAATGAAGGCTCTTTCACACACCTTGCAAAACACCAAAGCTTTTAAGGCCTCAGCAGATGTTAAATCAGCGCGAGCACCTTCCCTGATAGAAGTCTGTTCTCGGGCATCTAATCCCCAGCCCTGGAGAGTGGACGAGGGTGCGAGATTGCTCACCCAGGGCCACTTGCAAAGAGATGGTGTGTGTGTGTGTGTGTATTAGGGGAGCAGAGGGGTCTCATTAAATCGGAGTTTGCTCATTTGAATTTAGAGGAAGGCTCTGATGAAATCTGCCTTCACTGTCACAAAATTTATCAGTGGAGGAACAGTGTCAACAAGATTGCAGGGAAGTATGTAAGTGACTAAAAATACATTTTCAACACCTTGTAAACACACGCACCCTGACTGGTCCATTATGAATCATTTTTATGTGCTTGTTCATTTAGGACAGTTCATTTGTGGAAGGTCACAAGACAATACCCCCTTCCACTCGGGCACCTAGTGGTCCTTTCTGACCTGAAAGGAATAACCCTCACTCCTTTTAAAGAGCCCTAAACCAGCCTAGCCTTCTCTAATTAGTCCAAACTAGTAAAGATTTTAAGAATTTCATTTCTTGGGGCACGTGGGTGGCTCAGTCAGTTAAGCGTATGCCTTCGGCTCAGGTCATGATCCCAGGGTCCTGGGATGGAGCCCCGCATCAGGCTCTCTGCTCAGTGGGGAGCCCGCCTCTCCCTCTGCCTGCCGCTCCCCCTGCTTGTGTTCCCTCTCTTGCTATCTCTGTCAAATAAATAAAATCTTAAAAAAAAAAAAAAGAATTTAATTACTTTTCTTCCTCTCCCACACCCCATTCATTCACCAATTCGGGCCACAGCCACACGCTGAGGCCAGTGATGTGCCAGGTGCTGAGAGAAGGCTGAACGACAGGATGGGCATGGTCCCTGCCCTTGGGGGCTTGCAGCTGAGTGGGAAAGAACAGGTATGTAGCCAAATGACACACAAGATCATGACAGGTCGGGGCGCCTGGGTGGCTCAGTCAGTTAAGCGTCTGCCTTCGGCACAGGTCATGATCCCAGGGTCCTGGGATCGAGCCCCACGTCAGGCTTCCTGCCCAGGAGGGAGTCTGCTTCTTCCTTTCCCTCTGCCACTCCCCACCCCGACTTGTGTGCACTCTCTTGCTCTCTAAGAAATAAATAAAATCTTTAAAAAAAAAAAAAAAGATCATGTCAGATCAGGTAATGGGATAAGCATAAGGCTGGAACCACATGGGCCTGGCCTGGGCAGCGGAGGCTACTTAGTCTATGGTCACAGGGGTCTCCCTGAGGAGGTGACATTCGAGCTGGCCAGGGAAAGATCCAGGCACAGAGAATTCCAGGCAGGGGAGTAGCAAGTACAAGGGCCCTGGGGCCAGACAGAGTTTGGCAGGCTGGAGGCACGGCGAGAAGGCCAGGGTGGCAGGGCTTGTGGAAGAGAGAGGAGGAAGGACAGGGTGGTGCAGGCAGGGTCCCCGAGCTGTAGTGAGGAGCTGAGACTTTCTTCTCAGAAGCTGCTGGAGGGTGCAGCAGAGCAGTGCTATTACCTGTTTACCCTTTAAAGGTGTCAGTCTGGCTGCTGTGTGGTTCCAAAAGGTCTTGAGTGGGAGAGCTGATAAGGGCTTACTAATCATGGGGGGCAGGAGAGTGTCATGGTGAGAGCGCTGGCTTTAGATGAAATCTGTCTGGGATGAAATGCCACTTCCACCACCACCCTGGGCGGGTCACTCAACCTCCCTAAGCCTCAGTGGGGAACAATAGTGTGGCTGTTCTAAGCACGAGAGTAAGCGCTCCAAGTGTGGCAGCCGTCACCTCCACCAGCACCAGCATCACCTCCACCAGCACCAGCACCACCTCGGTCCCCACCATCATCACCGTCGCCGTCACTACCATCACCACCAGCAGCACAGTCAGACAAGCCTCTAAGGCACAAGTTGCACCCCCAGCCATCCCTCCTCCCTCCTGCACCCCCACAGAGCACAGCTTTTTGGAACTGAGGGTGAGCATCAGATCCCGAAGGTTCTCCGAGCCTCGCACTGCCCAACCTTACACATGAATCTGAGCAAGAAGCCACGGGACACTTCACGGCAGTTGCTGAAGCAGATGCGGCAGAACTAAAGAATGCAGGCGCATGCTTCTGGAAATACCAAGTTTTCATCAAGGCACGCTACACATTGACCAACTTAGTGGCTTTCCAGCATGGCCAGGAGTCTTGCTTTCTTGGGGCTGGACCATCTGCCCCATGGCCTCTCACAAGCACCCCGGGGTCCTCAGGAAGGGGAGGCCACGGGGAAGCCACGGGGAAGAAAGCCCTTTGCCAGAGGAGCAGGTGATCGGGACAGGTCCCCGGATGCCAATCCTGGAATCCCCAGGCAGACACGGCTGACAAGGCAGGCCGTCCAGTGGCTGATGAGGCCCAAAACACTGTTTTGTCCACTGCCTAGAACAGAAAGCACAGACTACCTCCCTCACTGCCTCAGCGCCACTACCTCCAGGGATGTGTCCAAAGAAGAGAAGTCCCCAACCCTGAACGCAAGGCCCAGTGGAGAGCCAGAGCCCTGCTGTGAGGAGGCCCGGGGCCTCCCCGGGCAGGAAGTGCATGGTGTGCCTGAGTGGGGACAGGCTGTTCGGGCACACAGGTCCCCAGCAAAGTGCCCACGCACCCCTGCACAGGCCCAGACAGAGGGGAACTCAGCCGCCTGCTCCTTCAGGAAGAGGCACAGCTGTTGGGTGTCCTCTCTGCAGGAAGCCCCGCAAGGCCACACAACTCGCCAACTGGTACCTGCCCACTGGCCAGGACCTCTCCTGCCATCTACACAGACATCCTTTCCAAGAAGGGAGCCTGGTTTTCCTCGATGTGCTCAGAAACCAACAGCCAGGGGCTCCTACGCTCCGAGGCTGGCTTTCCAGCCAGGTTTCCACTGCCAGCACCTGTCCAATTCCCCTCTCCCTCCCACCCAACTTCTCTATCTCATTCTTTCTTCCGCTCCTTCATTCATTCAGAGAGGAGGCGGACCAGAGCGGTCAAGAGAACAGGCTTTGGAATGAGACAGCCAGGGTCAGAATCCCAGCTTTGTCTCTTACAAGCTGTGTGACCTTGTGCAGGCTACCTAACCTCTCTGGGGCCTGTTTTATCACCTGTTTGATGGAAATGTGAATAGTACCGATTTCATAGGGCTATTATAAGGATTAAAGTAGTTAACATTTGCTAAACGTTTAGAAAAGTACCTGGCATGGAGAAAGGGTTACCCTACAGTTAAGTTAAAATATTAACAAATACTTACTGAGGGCCCTCTACATACCAGACACTGTTCTGGATGCTTGGGACACATCAGTGAACAAAACAAAGACTGCTGTCCTCAGGGAGCTGACATGCTAGAGATTAACAATAAACTTAATAACAAGTAAACCGTGGAAAAATCAAACGTAGGGCAGGGAAAGGAGAACTAGGGCTATGTTGGGAGTAGAAGTGGCAGGTTTCCAGTTGGAAATACGGTGGTTGGTGGAGGCCTCACTGAGAAGAACAATGACTTAAAGAAGAGACTCAACCACAGAGGTGTCTGAGGAAAAAACATTACAGGCAGCGTGAAGAGCTGTGCAAAGGCCCTGAGGCAGCTGTATGCCCAGAGTATCGGAAATACAGAAAGGAGGCCAGAATGGCTGGAACTGAGTGAGGGAGTTGGGATGGGGTGGGCAGATCGTGTAGGACCCTGCAGGTCACTGAGACTCTGGAGTTTAGCCTAAGGGAGAGGGGAGCCATGAAGGGCCTTCGGACCAGGGAGGGACAGGAGCTGACGTCCGTGTTAATAAGGTTTCCCTCTGGCTGCTGTGCTGAGAACAGACTGAAGGAGGACAGGGAGACCAGCGAGGGAGTAATAATCCAAGCGAAAGGGAGACCTATGGTTGCAACGGAAATGGTGCCAAGCGGTCAGATTCGGGGCATGTTCTGAAGGC